ATGTCAAAACTATTGCAATAACCACAGAGTAGATTAAATCAGTATGTAAACAGTACTCGTATTAGAATAAATTATTGATATAAAGTAATGTTGCCGTGGGTGGCCTCATAGTCCAGCGATGGACTGTTATTCATCTTGATTTGAATAAAGTGTTGCTCTACACTAGGATTTTCTCTTGCGAATTTATTGTGAATCACACAAAGAATAGTAAACACACAGTGCCGTGCGGGAATCGAACCCGCGACACCTTGCGCAGCAGTCAGTTGTCCAGCCATTGCGTCAACAGTACAATTAGACAATTCTCCGTAGAAACACGGTGGCCAGTGTAAGCCACTGTGCTTTAACCTTAGTTTAGCTTCAGAACAAGCCTAGTCTGCCCTCTGCAACCCGCAATACTCTGTGGTTCCCCTAGTTATTTATATGCTGCTATAGAGAATGGCCGTCGAGGGAAATCGCCATAATGGCCAATAGGTACTACAGGCCAACTAAACTGGCCATACATTGTTTACATACGAGTATTTGGTATTATCGATGTATCTATAATAGCCTTGTTTTTCTGCTACGCAAACTGATTGCTATCAATGTCGGTAGACTTTTCCGGAATGTTTTGACGGAAATGATACCAATTTCCATATTGTAATTGTGATTATGTCAGAGCTACATTAATATTCGTATGTTTATCGTGTGGTGGAAACTTTTAATTGAGCCCTATCGAAGGACAGGTGCTATCAATTCTCAAATACTTTCCCTGTGTCAACTCACACGTGTACGTGACATTTCGGGAACTGAAATGATGGTGTATTCAACTTCCTAACTTTATCCTTTTAAAACAAACACATTGTGTTTTCTTCCTTATAATTTATTACAATCATTCTAACATATGGTAACAAAAATCATGTTTGGTACTCGTATTGCCATAATTCAGAGCCGATTTTTCTAACGCCAGATAAATTTTATCTGAGGAATAATTATTATGAATATTTGACAATTGAGTATTTTACAACAAGTCAAACTCAATACTTTTTTCGAACTGTCAAAAACTGTTTTCTATGAATTTTGTACGAGATTGTGACGTCACGTTTTTTAAGCGTCAAACAGCATACCTACTTATTTCTTGAAAATTGGTAAAATACTAAAAATCAGTTAGTCATAAAAACAATTAATGAAAGTGTGATATTTTTTAAAATATCTTATTGTATTGAGCAGTCGAAATAATTTACTTTTGACTAAGGAAAGTACCTAATTATTCCATATTAAAACCTGTCAAATATCAATTTAATTGTACAGTTAAGAATTATTTGTTCATTAAAAAATCGGCCCTTAGTGAAATTTAACCGATTATTTTTATTTTAATCGTTGGTTCTTGATCATTCTCAATGGGACCTTTTCGCTTCTAAATGACGTATCCGTGTTAATGAAGCTCTCTGTTCTTAATTCAAATTTGAATTACCCGCGCATTGGATTCATACACTATCTGTGGACAGCCAGCCTTTACTACTTTACGATTGTGTGTGAAAAATTTTGGTGAATTTTGTTTCATTAATAATTGTTAAAATAATAGGAAAATATATAGCTTTTAATGTTGTTTTTCTTTTCACAGAGCAATAATATAAGCATTTGTTTTAATAATAACTACCATATTAGATCCACTTAATGATTACGAATAACATCTACATAACCCTTACGAGGTCTTCGATCATTTTATTAACCTTTCAGTTACGTGGCTGCATCTAGAATAAAATTCTAGAATTTACATACTACCTGTGAACAACCTGTTATTAACCTTTAACTACTATCATTAAACTTCGAAGTGGCTTTGAAATTACGTAAGCAATGATCATAGGTCTAACTAGCTAGCTAAGTATATTAGCAAATAGCAGATATATATTGACTATATAGGTATATGGGTAATGCGCTAAAGTAGCATGTATATATTGTTCGAAAATGTAAGAAGCTAGAGTGTTCAAAAACCATCTAGAAAGTAAAGGTTGACAATGAAACGGCTATTTTTTTAAAGGTCGATGCGCAAAAATTTGTGGTACCGTCTCCACCCTTATTGTAGCATATTGAGACCTATGCCAGACAACTTATCATTTTATCGTATGACAGCGAAACTAAAATATCTCCGAAAAAAAAATTACACTTGTAAATATAAGTCTCGTAAATAATTACAAGATAGGGTGAAGCGTCTCTTCTAATCTTAAGGTTTCCATAAACATATTTTGTTTAACGTTGCCCCACACTACGATTTTCTCTTGACTCGCGATTGTGTTTTTTTTTTTTTTTTTTTTTTTTTTTTTTTTTTTTTTTTTTTTTTTTAAAACGTTGCCCCACACTAGGATTTTCTCCTGTGTCGTGGGTGCGTTTACAAACATACAATATCACATACACATGACACCCAGACCCGGAACAACAATTTGTGGATCACACATAGAGTTGTTTTGTACGGGAATCGAACCCGCGACATGTAACGCGGTGGCCTACGAATTATGAGTCGATATGGATGGACGTTTCGGAAATAAGAGGAAATTATGTTTGTATATTATTAATTATTATTCTACTTGTGCCAATCTTAATGTGTCAGGAGGAGACAATAGTATGTTCATTCATTGTTAACATTATGTAAGTAGAATGGGTTGCGGCGGAAAAATCTGCAGAAATACACTGCATAAAATCTGCAATAACGTATTATGACTACTCGGGTATACAATGTATTAAAAATAGAAAATACATAAGCTAAAAGATGAGAGAAATAATATATTATTCATCTAGTATTCATAAATACGATACTCGAAATCTTAACCTTTACAATCATAAGTTATGAGGGCATGACGTCACTAAAATCCGAGGCAAAAAAAAAATAAACAATGAATTTTCTAATTTAAAACACAAACTAATACACCGGTCTAGCACATACTTCCCTAATACTAGTTATCACCTAAGATTCAAATAAGGAACTTGCTAATTCAAACAGATAAAAGTAAATAATTGTCTATGGTGTATAAGGCTAAAAACAGACTAGTGACTAGTGACTAGACACTGCAGAACACTCTTGTCTGAATGGCGGAGTATTGATTATGTGAAATCAAAACATGACGTCACTGGTTCCTACTTACCACGGTCTGACGGCAACGGGATGACCTATGTATCTATCTGAATATTTTATAAGCTTTTCTTTTTTTAGAATGCCCGTTCCGTTTTCATAAAAACAATGTCAGTTTTCCTTTTTTAGTCAAAGGTAATGTTTTCTTTTAAGCCTGTGAAGGGGAGGTTTTATTGTTTATTTTTTTATGAGGCTATTTTCCGTGAAAATTATTGTTAGGTTTTGTATACGGGTATCCAAGTGCTGTAAGTAAATGTTATAGTCTTTATACTCGATTAATGCCTTCGTTAATTATTTTTTAATTTGATGTTGGGTTTTTCCGATAAAAGAAAGAAGCTAAGAAGCTTACCGTCATTCATACTCTGTCTGACACAATCCTCTTAAAAGATAAACTAATTAATTACCACCGAAATAGATCGTTCTAAAAACAAATCTTACTGTTATTTTAAATCCAACCTACATGCTTATTTTACCTCACATAAAAAAATTTAAACTAAACATAAGTTTTTAAACATGTTTATATAGATAAACTTGATCCAGTTCTTAGTTTGATCAAACATCAACTTTATTACGTAACACTGGTATAAAAATATTTTATTATCCATTCCGATTGGTCGTTACTTTAAGTTGACTGTAACAATAACAAGCTTTAATGAGCATAAGTTTTAGGAGTTAAATTAATCTGAATTTTTGATACTAGCTGTTGCCCGCGATTTTGTCCGCGTAGAATATGATTCCTGTTTTATCCCATAGGACTATTTAATCGGGATAAAGTACCATATCACCCAAGTCAGCCCATACCCTGCCTGTATACCAAATTTCATCAAAATCCGTTGAGTATTTACAGCGTGATTGACGAACAAACATTCAAACAGAGAAACTTTCACATTTATAATATTAGTGTTTCATTATACTGTCGATAGTAATAAAACTTACGGGGTCCCTGATTAAACTGTAGGGGTAGCCTAACTACACTTTAGCCGCGGAGTAGGTACCTACTTAATACGTTTCCGGGGCTCTGGCTCGAAGTGCAGGAGTAGGAACGGGGTGGTTATTAGTGAGAAAGAATCTGACACTCCCTCCCGCCTTACCCCGGCGTGAGAAGTCATTCGATGATTTTCCCCTCTCAAAAAAAAGGAGTAGGGACGGGGTGGATTTTAATCAGTAAGAGTCTGACACTCTCTCTCGCCTCTCCCGGGCGGGAGAAGTCATTCGATGGTATTCCTCCCTTAAAAAATCCTACACTTGGAATACCACAAATACCTAGGTATCATAAGTGTGTTGTTAATCATTTGCGCACTCCACTTTTCGGGTATCCTTTTAAAAAATTATAGTGTCTACTGTTCGGTATCACTATATCGGACCAACTTATAAGACTTGGTAGGATCGTGGAAAAATCAATGTAGTACCTACTTATTTGTACATAATAAATAGATTACATAATGCCATCGCCCATCCCTTTGGCAAAAAACAACAATGTAACGGGGTTATTGTTTATTTATATCAATGGCTCCGTTATTTCTGGAACAAATTGCTTCGTTACACGTGTAGCTAACAAAGTGTAATCATGAGTATAATTAAATCTGAATTACATAGTTAATCGTCCACTGATTAAAATAACTTACCCGTTATTATTATTATGTTAAATAGCATCTTAATATTGTGAAATAGCAGGATGAGCAGTTTTTACATTTTCTATAATTTTTGTGTGATATTTGTCCTACATTAACATATTATGCCAAAATAGGAATTCAACGGAATTGTCTTCGTCTTCAAAGAAAACGCGCGAAAAATCAATGTTATCCCGTAATAAAAAAGCTACCAATTTGGTAGTTATTTTTGTTGCTACATTTTTATGCTCAGATTTATGTTATTAATTTTGTAAATTCTTTTTCAGATCTATGTCTCACCAAACGTGGTCCACAACCAGGTTACATGTTTCTCTTCGACATGCGCGGTGTTAAATTCGGACATCTTACAAGAGTTAGTTTATCGTAAGTATATTTTTACTTGAAATCTGTGAATCCATTATTTATTAATTGGCTTTCTAACTTGCATTTTTGTAATTATTTGCATTGAATTAATTAATCACAAAATATATGTATTTTTCTTCTATGTGAACTGTATAATGGCAATGCAATTAATGGATTCACGTGATCAATTAAAAGAAAAATAAATTAAACTTTTTTTCTATGCACAATGTATCTTATTGTTATGTTGTATACATATTTATATTTTCATAGCTTTCAAAAGGATAGACAAAGGTAAAAGATAAAAGATGTTCGTATAAATGTCCCAATTTGCTTTAATATTTTTAAATTAATATTGTCATTAACCATGAGATATTTTTAAAATACCCAAATATTACCATTTACCATTACCATTAGGCCTAAATAGCTTTTATGTTGAAGAGTATTGTTAAATATAGTTTCTTTAAGAATACATAATTATTTGTACAATTTATCACAATGCTATTGGTAATTTTATATGGCTATTCATTTATTTGTATACAAAGAAGAAACATAATGTTACGGTTTATTAAAACTGCAGTTTATTAGCTAGCTATTCATCTCGTAACATTTATGTCTAAAGGATTGCTTCCTTACATAGAGATCATTAATTTAATAAATATACTCACATCGATTTTCTTATTTTAATTGTTCGTGGTCATCAAAAATTACATTAAATTTTTTGTCCATCTCACAAATGTACCCGAATGTCATTTTAAACTGATAGTTATATTTGCTTTATAATAACTCGAACTATATTCAAATCACACGTATAAAGACTGAATATTAATGCAATAGAATGGTGTTTTAATGAAATCTAACCATTACTGCACATACATTATAGAGTACACAATAGCATGGCCTAGGTATTCGCTAAAACGTCTAATTGTCGTCTAGTCAAACATCCATAAATGTTTTCAATATTAAAGTTTATTTACAAAAAATTCCAGGTCGCTACGGAAATTTTTCCAGTACGTCCAAGAGGCCATGCCAGTGCGCATGCGCGCGATACACGTGCTAAACACAGAGCCAGTCTTAGACAAATTAATGGTCCTCATCAGGCCTTTTATGGATAAGAAGTTCTTTGACATGGTAAGTTTAATTTTCCCTCCTCTTCAGGTTTTTATTTTCGCAAAGATTCCTTATAACCTCAAGGGTAGGTAATGCCTAAGGTCTGTACTGTTCCATAGATAGAGCTGATGATGGTGGTGGTTATTTAGGTATCAAAGCCAATATAAACAAATATACTATACTTCCTAGCGGTAACTGATAAAAGTAATTGTTTCAACAATTTTTTTTTCTAGTTAAAATTCTATTTACCTTATCGTAGATGTTTTAATTCAATTAAATCAATTCTGATAACGCAATGCCATCGCAATGCATGATTTATATCGTCGTTGTAAATTAAAACTACAAACCTTTATTGACAACTATAAACTATTACCATTATAGTAAATGTATTATTGAATCAACATTAAGATAAGCCTAAAAGTGGCCATTGCTGAGTAAAGGCCTCTTCTCACATGGAGAAGGTTTGAACATTAACCACTATGCTTGCTGAATGCGGGTTCACTACCGGTTCCTTCTAAACCTAGTTAACCTTTGTACACGAGAATGTGAAATAGAATCAAATATTTGATATTATTTGTAGTTCAACATTTTTATTTTTATTATTACATTTTACAGTATTACATTTCATAAATCGTCAATAGAATTTACATGTGATGTAAGTGTATTATTTAGGCTACTCCTGTAGAGCCATAGAAAATAAAATCTAAACGTTAAACAAGAGAATAAATCACAATTTTTGCCTTATCGTAAATCATAAAATGTACTGCGCATGTCGACTAGTTACATACATATGTACATGCGTTCGCAATATTTGTTTATGTACACACTCAATGTAAGTGTTGACTTCGAACTGTTCAACTTGCAAATAAGTGTCTGACCTTGGCTTAGAAACATAATATTTTGATTCTTATTCCTAGAAGATGAAGGGATACAATCGTCATAAATATTTGATTACTTATTTACATAGTGGACAAAATATAGGGTCACATGCTTTTAAGGTTAATCTATACGTGTCCATATCTGTTTGATGTCTCGAGAATTCTCAGAAATTCGGAGACTTTCGAGTCTCGGATGTCGTACCTACTTATGTCCTTGATACTCGAAAATACTTGACGTTTAACTCTTAATGTCTTTTAATCTTATTCAAATGACATACATACGTGATTCGATCGATTCAAGTTTAGACTTACTATCGAGAATAATGTCAAACTAAATATTTTAAATAGTACCAAAATTCATTAGACAGTGGAAATCTTCTGCCTACTACTACTGATAGACAAGGTATTATTAAAATATAATAACCTTATCGCATATCGCTTTACAAAACCAGTTTTGTAATTACTGTTTTGAACATGTAGCCTGATATAAGGTTATTTTTTCGACGTGTATAATATTTTTATTTTGTTTTTCCTACTATACATATTTATGAATTTAAGGTGCAATAATTATTCTTTTAAAATTATACCGGTAGTCGTAGACAAAAAGGGTTACAAAAATAAAACTGCAATTTTGTTGCTTGGCGTATTCAAGAAATATGCATGCAAATTTTATACAAAACTTGCTTTCAGCGGAAAACTTGTTTTCTAATCGATGATTAAAATAAATCATATGCTGTAAGCTGTAAAAATACTCATTGAAGTTGGTGGTAGTAAGGTGCAACCTGAGAACTTTATGAAATCAATTTTAGAACTATTTTTGCATCTCTATATTCAATAACACGCTACAGAATGGCTTGTCAATTTTCCATCAACATGAAATGTAGTCTATTGTATTTAGGTAATAAATTATTACATACTGCATGGAATGAAACACAAATGTACTGGTTCCTAACAATATAAATGCGAAAATTTCTGTTTCTTTGTGTCACGTCAAAACTGCTAAAGGGTTAGAGATGAGCTTTAGAGCAGAGGTAGAATATGGTCTCGAATAACACAGGCTTTTTATCGAATGGGACAGCGGGCGATGCAGCTAACATAAGCTCGTAATACTTAATACATAAGTTGTAAGTGATATTGTCGATAGTATTTTCTTTCACTTAGGAAATACATTTATGTGTGGTCTTATTAGATACATATTGTTAAAGGACAAAGGAAAGACAGCTGTTTGTTTAAATATGAATGAATCATTGGAATGCACGTGCGCTTGACTTTAACTTGTTTCCGTTAAGGACATGGTTTTTAAACTTTCTGAAATGGAAATATTTTGACAAGAATAGTCAAGATTAACCAAGTAGTAGTATTTTTTATTAGTATTGTATTACTATTCATCTAAAGACTAGTTCTAATAAAAATTACAATAAAGTGTTGTACTTATTAGCATACTGGACTTGATCCAGTAAAAACATGGATTACGGGTTTACTAGGTAATCAATAACAACAAATTATCACTTTGAAGAACTTTATTACCCGGGCCGTAAACCGGTTTTCCTGTTCCTTGAATAGTATTGTGAGATGGCATAATTGTCTGAACAACGTATAAATTTAATACATATAGCCGTAGATTATTATGAAGCTGAATTATGATGATTAAATAAATCAGTCAATTCATCTAAATAGATCCGTTCCAGAACATTGATACCATAATACTTCTGTTCTTGGAAACTATGGCTTTACTAGGTCATAGAACGACTCTCAGAAACAAAGCTCGCGTACGAAACCGCGAGGCATTGCTAGTAACCCATAAACAATGTGTTAAATACGTCAAACGTCAATTTATTTGTCAAACAAACCTTTCGAAACCAGTTTTATGAACTTGTTAACCTTTATAATATCATGTCCTTGATACACCTAATATTATAGGAATGTCAAAAAAAGTTTAGTAGTTTTATTCCGAGAATTTCTAGTTTCGGAGAATCCTTTATTTATTCGGAGGTCGAATTTCGAAAGTGATTGTCTTAAAACGATTTTGTACAAAAATGGAATCGTGAGATATGTACTGACCTTAAATTTAAATAATTATTTGCATTCCTCTCACCAATATTGTAACGGACCCTATTTCTTCTTTTACACGTTAAACGCCACGGTGGTCACCGGTAACCGACGTTAGCGGAGGAAGTGCCTTCAACAAGCTTTAATAACTATTTATTACCAAGCAAAACGTTTCTCTGGTTGAATACTAAAATCTCAAGAACTATTAAAAGGATTTATTATAAAGCAATACTAATAATTTGAAAATATACACTTATTATTTAGTTTTGGTTAAGTTTTTTGATGATTCCTATCTTACTTTATAAGTGTTTTTCTGATGCATTCACATTTAACTATTCCAGCTCAAATTCCACAATAAAAATGAGAACCTGGAGAAGTTTTACGAGACTGTTGTGCCACGATCTTCACTGCCTCCAGACTACGGCGGCACTCTACCTGACACACAGACTCTGCACAAGAAGTGCATGCAGCAGCTTCAACTCATGGAGCCGTACTTCAAAGCTGAGGAGGAACAGAGGATCGCGGCGTTACCTGACAAGAAGCGAGAGAAGGCCATGGAAAGGGCATTCAAGAATCTCGATATAGACTAAAGATATATTCCTATAAAAAGGTAAATGCTGTCTATTTTAGTAGTACTTTTTGGCAGTGGAACGACTGGTTTCATAAAAAAAAATGTAAATAGGAATAGAACGTGTTCTATTTTTAAATGTGTAAGCATTTGACAGTTCTGTTTTTTATGTTAGTTGCCAGTCCAAAAATAGGTTTTTTTTTTAGTATAATTTTCAAAGATGCATTTGTGTTTTTTAAGTTCAGTTTGTCGTGGTGTCAAGTCGTGGTGGCCCGGAGGTTTAAGACGCCCACTTCTCATGCATGAGGGTGCGGATTCGAAACCTACCAACGGCAAGTACCAATGTGACTTTTTCCGAGTTATATGTACTTTCTAAGATTATTTAGACACCACTGAAAAACGGTGAAGGAAAAACATCGTGAGGAAACCTGGACTTATAATTTCTAATTATAAGTTTGAAATCGCCAACCCGCATTGAGCAAGCGTGGTGATTAATGCTCTAACCTTCTCCGTGTGAGAAGAGGCTTTGCTCAGCAGTGGGCATTTATAGGCTGTTGATGTATGTATGTATGTAAGTTCAGTTTGGAGGAATTGTAATATTAATCTTGACTTGTGATTTGGAAGCATAGCAAAGTAACGACTATTTTGGTAGTACCTACATATAAATATCTGTCAATTATAAAATATCTAAAATAATAGATAAATAATGATATAGTACTAATACGATTATTAGAAAATCGCAAAAGCTAAATCTAGAGACTAACTATGAGAGAAATGAAGGCAAGATAACTTACAAATATTATTTTTGTATTAAAAAGACAATTTTATTGGTTTTTATTTCGTTTAATAGGTGTATATTTAGAAAATTGACTGTTGTTGAACTATCTATATGTTAGAAAGTTAATATAAAGATGTGTGTGGGATTTTATTTAGATAAAGCTTAGCTTTATAGATTACCTATAAATCTATCGAAGAATTTATATCATGTTTTTAGTCTATGATTCTTAGTACCTACTTATATTTTGTCGAAAAATAAATACAGTTAATTTGTCTCTTTTTTGTAATTTTTTTAGTCATGTAGAATCATGAACTAAGTACACGATATAAGATCTCCTATTAATTCTATGAATATATGTTAAAAAAAATGGTATATTACTATATTCAAATCGTCAAGTGTTCATGCTTAAGTCAATGTATTTAAATTGTTATTATTGTGATAGATTATCTTATGTATGTATTAATAATATGATAATTTGTGATATTTCCAAAAGTATTTACAATTTATTATTTAATTTAAAACAATTTTCGAACTGTTGTTTGTGATGCATTATTTTACAATAACTATGGTATTATTAGTCAAAAATTCTATTCAATGGTATGTTATTGCTTATTGAATCAAAAATATTACATAATTAAAATATGATAAACGAAAATCACTGATCTTAAACCATTATTACAAAATATATAACTTGTATAAGATTATCGCACATATGTACTGGATTATCTAAAGCTGTATAATTATCATTAAAATGATAAACATTTGGGCAGATATCAATTCTTAATTTGCGATAGTATTTAATTAATCTTCATAGATATGCAAAATAATGTGGTTAATCTAAATACTAGTATCCGCTACAGGTATAAGTATTCTAAAAAAAAGAAATAGAATTAACGAATCAATATTGTACAAATCCATGAAAAAAGCATTAAAGGAAAAAGATGAATAAGAAAGGAACGTCTACTAAGAATAAAAAATCAATAGTTTTTTCTTAATAATTTATCTTCTAGTGATAATACGGATAGACTTATTATTCATCCTTTGATATCTAAAAAGAATAGTCGAGAAGTAATAGTTAATGATAAATAAAATCCACCTCTAGCTGCTTACCACTTCGCCGAATAAAATACTTGACGTCATATTACATTATGTAATTATCATTTAATAAGCAAAGTACAATTAATTAATTCCTTTCATTGATCCGCTTATCGCAATCGAAATGTTGATAAAACATTAAATATTCCTTAATTACCAGATTGTATACATTATTACTTGTTGATATTCAAAATTGAGAATTTCTTTCTATGGTAACTTAAATTGGGTAAGAGCGTTACCTAGTCATAACAAAAGTAATTCGAATGCTATTTGACTTTGTCATTTGTAATTTTATTTTCAGTTATGTTTCAGCGAATGTTTTTTAGTTTTCTATTTGTTTATGTTCAACATAAATATAGGTACCTTAGTTTGGTATACCTACTTAACAAGCTCTTTAAAATCTTATGTATTATATTCTATTATTCCTACAAAATGTTCTCTTAGACAAAACTAACGAGACTTGTATATATGTACTTAGTATTAAGACACTGTAATGTCTTATGTTATTCAAAACAATTGACGCTCAATTATGCATTAAAATTTAAACGAGCTAAGTTCATGTTCAAAAGTTTAATTAATTTTGTTAGTAAAATAATGTTTTGTTTTATTTCTAGATTTTTGGCATTAACTGAACATTTTTTTTAAATGTTCGACAAATTGTTGTATTATAAGTGGCGGGAAATTGCCATGACAGTTATTTTATTCATTTGAGACGCTTTAACAAAATGAAATGACAAGAATTGGGACCTGAATAGTAAGAATTGTGTTTCCATGTAAATTCAGTAGCTAAATGATGTTTATACAAGTTTTTCTTGTTATAAATGGCGTCACTAGAGTTGTAAGGTGGCGGAAGCATAGGTACTTAAGGTTTTGTATTCATATGCACAGTAGATATAGATTTAGTTGAAAATTCCACTTTATTCCTTATTAAAGTTTGTGATAAATGCTTGTGTTGTTGAAATGTGTTACGTTGGTTCCAAGAATCGGATATAATTGTGATTTGAAGTAGAAATATATTTTTATGCAATAGACAGATTTTTTTATTTTTAGAATAATTATCTGAGACATTTAATCCGTAGTTAGAGTAATAATCAGATTCATTCTTATGAAAAGTTAATAATATTTCGATCCAATAGTTAAACCAAAAATGAAACCTTTCAAGACATACAAATATTATAAACTATTAGCGCCATCTCTTGACTCGAAGTTCGAACTTAAATTAAAAAACGTCACACGAAAGTGGTAGAAAATTAATTTGACGTTTCTCAATTGGTAGAAAATTTTTAACATGTGGCAACTGGAAGCAACTGTCATTTCATAACGGTTGCGGAACACCTGCCGGTTTTTTTGTTTACAACATTCAAACGGAAAGTTATGAATGAAAGTTATTCTTCCGACTATAAATTCTAGATAAAAAGTACTGATTATTTCGTGTAGTGTGTGTGTGTATTGATTTTCTTGATGTTTACTGCGGTTTCTTGGATTTATCAAGGTATGAATATTATTTGTAAATTCATATTTCTTTTGTTATTTTGTTGAATGAAAATCACTTTCTTTGCTAACAAAAAGTGGTCAGAAATGTGTGCTTCGATGGTTTTCTACAATAGTATATGTCACCTAGTTATTTTCATTACTATATCGTTATCAGACTTCAACAAAGTTTCAACGAGTATTCTAAGTTGTAACTAATTAGTATTACAATTGAATCGTCTTAATAAATATGCTACTAACATAACACCCACTTGATAGATATTTTACATATCTACAAATATTAATTGTAAACGAGTTTAATCAGGTAATTTTATCATTGAAATTTTGAATTTTAATAAATTTTATGTTTTCTAGTCATCCCACTGCATTTCTGCATGTTTTCTCTACTTCATATTACAATTTACCCCTCTTTATTAATTTCCAGGTCACAATGGACTCCATAGACAACAACCAGTTTGAAATAAAACCTATAAAAAGCAAAAGGAAGATTGCAGCACCTTGTCCAAACACATACTTGAATCCGGCACTGGACATCCTCGCCAACGAAGACCCAATGTGCAATACAGCCATGGAAGTCATCCCCATAAAGAAACGAAAAAGAACTAGGAGTTGTGGAGACATAGCTACCTTTGACAACTCCGCTTTAGACCTAGGTGTCAACAAAGCCGTAGTAAACAAAGTATTAGCTAGAGAAATTGAAAATGTACGCAAAAATGTACAAACTGACATGTCCACTGATGTTAGTATGGATGCCGAAATTGTGCGCAAAAACATTCAAAGTAATGTTACTGACGTCAGCATGGATGTTATCGAAACTGAACCAGTTTATGCCAATTTAACTGAAATAAAACATTCCCAAAAACCTGTAGACTCATCTATAACAATAATAGATGAAACACAGAATAATATAGTTTCCAAAATGGATAATAATGATGTTATGGAAGTAACTATACCAAACGATGATATAGATTCAGGCATATCAGTTTTGGAACAGAAGTCTTTAAGCACAGTGATGAAAGATGACACTACCATGCCGTCTCCTATAACAAACATACAAACAAATGTCACAAACCAAGTATTTATAAATAACTCGAGTAATCTTAATCTCAGTTTCATAGACAGACTTGGATTGGACTCACCGAATTTATCAAATCAGTCTTTGTTCTACGATGATGATTTAAATGAAAGCAACATAATGGAGATCAAAACGATTACAATTATAACTAAAAAGAAACGAATTAACACTAAGAATACTAATCCATTCTTAGATTCGAACATAGTCAATGTGGTTCCGAGTTTGGAAGGGAAACAAAATCCATTTTTGAACCTAGATGCTAAACCAGAACTAGAATATAATGAGGAAGTCCTTACTAGACCTGTAGAAGTACCAAACCAGGCTGAGAAAGTTCTGGAACCACGAAGACTCTTTGGAGACACAAACAGCACAATATCAACTGTAAATGAATCTTTAGAGCAACACGAGTATGAGAATATTGACAATTACAGATCGGATAGTCCTGTATATGAAAATATTGAAGAAGTCAATGAATTCAATAAGCAAAGCCGGATTTTAGGACATGATGTCTCTCAGTTCAGTGCTATAGACATCATAAACATAAATAAAAACTCACACCAAGATGTATCTAATGAATCTAATGAGAGCAAGAAATCGAAGAATCCACTTTTGAGAGTCGGTAATAGGTTATCCAAAAGAGTCTTCAAAACACTGCGAAAAACTTTTAAAGGAGAAAAAGCAGATAATAACATCACATTGAATCCATATGAGGTACCAAGGAAACCGCCTAAACAGAAGACGGAGACAAAAGACTCGGGTATTGAAAACCCAGCATTAAATCTGGATAATTCAGACGAAATAGAGATTGAAGAATTAGATGAAC